AGTGGCTACAACAAGTTTTTAAAAAGTATAATACATAAATTACTGCCAAATCATTGATACTTGCTACTAAAAAGAAATCGGCACTGAGCCCTGACTGGGGTGGCTCCATGGGCTGGGGGTCGGCTGCAAACTAGAAGGCCACTGGCTGACTCCCCATCAGGGTGTGCCTTGCGCCTGTGCTCCTGGTTGGGGCAGTGCCAGGGGCAACCAGTGGATGTTCCACTCGCACATTGATATTTCTCTCCTTGTCTTTGTTCCTCCCTTCCCCTCTTTCTAAAGACAAAGAAATAAAACCTTTTAAAAAAAAGAAAGTAGGACTGAGAGGTGCCTCCTTTCAATATGAAGAGCAAGTTTGCCCTCCTCAACACATTACAACTATTAGCAGGGAGTAGCCTTCAGCTCCGTGGCAGAGATGTCCCGAAATGTTTTTGTCTTAATGTGTTTTGGGCTTGTATCCTCAACTATGTTTGGTTATTTGTTTATAATTCATATACATGCATTTTTATATTAGCAGGTTATATACCTTATAAAACATGAACAAAATAGAAAAGAAGAATATAACCAATGCAATGTTTTGCTAACTCTGATTATCTCAAGGCAAATGCACACAGGATGAGGTTCATGATTAATTAACCACAGAGGATATAAACCCATATGTCTTCCAGATAATTGAGAGTTTCGTGGCTGGCTGCTTGCCAGATCTGATTTAATGGTCACTGCCATTACTTCATCATGTGGCTGACAAAGAGTTCACACTAAACTTTGCCATTTTCTTGTAGGTGGCAATATTAAAATTATCTTCCATGTATGGGCATTCTTTGCAGGATCTTTTTAAGTATCTACTAGTTTGGGGGGGGTTGTTAAAGCTAAAATGGAGAATTTGTAAATCCAGTTACCCAAGCATGAGGTATTTTACAAAACAACCAGAGCAGATAAACCAGGGCAGAAGTCACTGTGAAGGCCGGGCCTCACCTCCCTCCCTCCCTCCCTCCAGCTGGTGATACTCGACCATCTGACAGGTGGGCCCGGGACGACGCCAGTGTCAATCCAGTCACCGTCCATTATCATAATGGTTCAGGATAAAATGAGTCTGAATGCAAGTTCTAATCAATTCCTTTCCCCCCAAGTCAATCTCAAGAGCCACCTGGGGTGCACACCCCACTTTGCCGTACAGTGAGACAGTGCTTTCCTTCTGGAGCCACTTACAGTCACAGGAAACTCCAGGCCTAAAAATGTGCAGAACAAAACCAACCCAACCCAATGATAGTGCATGTTCTAAAACATTTAAAATCATGGACCATAATTCACAATCAGAAAAGCATGTAAAACATTAATGTTTCATGTAACAGACTGTATATTACCCATGTAACTACCTCCCCATGAAAAAGCAGAACATCACCAACACCCCCAGAAGCCCTCCAGGTCCATTCTCTGTCCCAGCACACCCTCTCTTAGTTAAGCATACGCTATCTTAATTCTTACAGGAATAAACTTCTTGCCTTTCATTATATTGTAGTTTTAGCCACTTAGGTATGTACCCCTTAGCAACAGAGTTCAGTTTTGAATGTTTTCACACTTCGTAGAAATAGAATAATATTGTCATGTATGCTTTTGTATCTTCTTCCTTTAAACATTATGTAGGTAAGATATGTCTGTGTTACTGTATGTAGCTTTAGTTACTCTTTTTCCATCACTGTATAGTGTTCTATCTTGGTTTGGGGGGTTACACAGTTTATTCAGGCATTCTACTATTGATAGACATTTTGAATGTTTTGAATTTGAGATGATCACAAACAATGCGGCTAAGAACATTTTACCCGTTTATGGATACACATGCGTATACATTTCTCTAAAATGCACATTCATGCGAATGCACTCTTGTGCAGGTAAGTGGAATTGCTGGGTCCCATCTAACTTAGTTTTAAAAAAAAATCCTAAGTGAAGGTAATTCCAGTGCATCTCTTGGCAATCAATTTTAATATTAACTAACTCTTCTGTAGCCATGAGCTCATTAAATTACTAGATTTATCTTTCCCTAGACTTTCACTTCTGGCACAGTCATTAAATTTGTACCATGATATTAAATACATTTAACTGTGTTAAAAATACTTTGAAAATTTCCAATGAATTTATTGAAGCCAAATGCCCCAAATCTCCGCCCCTCACATTTTTTTAACATATTGTAAGAACATTTTCCTTTAAATGAGGGCCAGCTTAGGCTGAGAGAACAAAATGTTCATTCAAAATTTAAAGCAATTTTGCAGCAAAAAGTTCCAAGTTAACACTCATATTGATCAAGAATAAAAAGCCAAAAATGTTAATCCTGTAGCCAAACTGAGGAGTAAAAATACAAATAATAAAGATTAATTCCAACTTCAGAGTCTCCAATGTTCTATTACAGTCATGAGTGCCCTGCAAAGGGACTACATAAATGGGACATCCCTAGGCGACAATATGTGGCACCAGTGAAACCCATTCAGTGGTCTTCCATTGTCTCATTGACAATGAACTTAATGACTAACGCTCATTATAGAGTTTTCTGCATATTAGGGCATATATACAATGCTGTTTTAATCCTCAGAACAGTCCTATGGGTAGGAATGATTATTCTTTCCATTTTCAAAAGGAAACTGAGGCTCAGAGAGGGAAAAAGTAAGTGACCAAGGTCCCACGGCTGTAAGTAGCTGAGCTGGGATCAGAACCAAGCTTCCTGGTGCTTCGGTTCATGCTTGACCGCACTGCCTGGCGACCTGTTAGTTTTGTCATTGTCATCGTTGGCATTGTTATTATTTTGATAACAACAAGAATAGCTCTTTAAGACCAGAGCAAAAGTATGAACCATGGTGGGGGGGGAACTATGTACATTTGTTTTCATTTATGGAAATTTTATGAAAATGATTGTAACCAAGCAGCTCTAATTCTACGAGAACTAATTAAGAAATGAATTAAGGGATTCGATGGATACCCAAATTAGTCATTAGGGCTCAAAGATCTGGAGTTCTGGTCTAAATCCAGCTTTGGCACTTGCATCCAAAATAAACATGACCAGATAAGTACCACAGCTCGTGATTAAAGCGGATTTATATGGCTTATGCGTCCACATGGGAGAGGCCTCTTCCTAATTGAATTCGGACACCTCTTCGGTTATTGTGCGTTTTATTTGCCATCTCATCACTCTTTTGTAACTGCTGGCATTAGGGTTATGCTGAGCGAGAAATCATTGCAATCAGTGATGTCTGCGGAGTGAGCATAAAAAGATAAAAGAAAAGCCTTTGAACTGTAATTAGAAAATTCCTTAAGTGTGCTCACATGTTTGAGACTACTACTGACTGGCAAGGTGAGTCACAGAATGGACGTGCAGTGTCACTGTTCCGGGACGAGCAGCCCGTCAAAGTCGTGTTCCGACATGCGATTAGAGTAATCTTTTGCAGGCCAAAACATTCCTGCTTTCCAGCTCTAATATGATTAGTGACAGACAGCTGGAGGCATCTCATTCTCCTGAAAAAATATGATCAGAATTGTTTTCAACTGGTGCTTCTTTCCATCAAGCTGTTTTGTTGCCTTGCAGCGGAATAATCAGAGTTTCTGATTATTTGGTATGTTCCAAGAAAACAGGAATTGATTGTGCCCTTGCATGTCTGATAGGAGAAGGCTGCCAAAATGTACAGTGTACACAGTAACTCTTCGGTTGCCTAACAGAAAGCAAAACTAAGAAAAGTGTGTGTGTGTGTGTGTGTGTGTGTGTGTGTGTGTGTGTATAGGGGGTGGGGAAAGCGGGGGGAGAAGGTCAACCAGGAGTTTCTATAATAATTCTTTTTGAACAACAATAAAGACAGTGTTTTCATGGTGATTCAGGTTTCAGATATGAGGAAATAAAATACTCTATTCTATTCATGGAAAACAACCAGCTCCCACCAACATTAACAGCTCTTTTAAAAAATTTAGTCATCTTACTACTAAAATTTCAGGGCTATGGAAAAAGAATCAGGGTTAGGTTAAACATTCATGGAAATATCCAGGTGCAGTGAGACCTCATTAATTTTGAACTATCTCAATTTGATATTTGTAGTCATTTGACAGGGTCTGAACTGGAGATGATCTTTTCACAATGAATATATGACTTGCTAAGCAAAAGTTCTGGAGGGAAAATAACAAAAGATTTCAGGGAAAATACAATGAACCAAAAATAACATGCTTCCTGTCCAGCAAATGCTGTTGATGAACCCCTTCAAATACCAGTTACTGATAAGAACATTAAGTACCGTTTAATTGAAAGTCAGTCTGTACAGTTCACTTTCTATACATGAGCTACAAACATCCCAACAACTCTGCAAGATGGGTATAGTTATCCCCATCTTAGAGGAGGAAACTGAGGCTCAGAGAAGCAGGTGACATGCCAGACTGCACAATTACAAGGCAGCAGAAGCAGGAGGCAAAGCCAGCCAGGTTGTCTTGCTCAGATGCCTCTGTCCTTCCATTCCCACCCAACACTGGGTGAGCCCTAAAGACCGCAAGTCAGACTCCTAGGTTCACTGGAGCCAGCTCTGCAACAGCAGAACAGCAGCAAAATGGCCATCACTGAGAGGAGGGAGAGGCAGGCACTCCGGCTCCACAGCCCACTGCCCTTAACTGTAATTCCTTAATTCTTTTCTACATCACAAGGACATCTGTAAAACACTTCTTTACGTGGCACTTCGAAGTATTTTTCATGCATAAAACTACCCTAGAAAACCCACAGAAATGTTGATGTAGGTGGGGACGGGGGGTGGGGGGCAGGGGGGTGGAAGTGAGGCAGAAGTGTCTTGTGCCCACTGCCCCTCCTCAGCGCTCCACTAAAATGACTTCAGTCCCCACACCTACAAACAAGAACTCTGGTGTGGAGGCCCTGACAGGCAGATGAAGGCTGTGACAAGGCTCTGGGAGTGAGCTTCAGGTGCCAGGACAGCTGGCCATGTGCACCGGAAGAGGCTACAGAGAAGGGAAGGATCACCTCTGCTTACCTGGAGATCCACGGAGATACTGCGGAAAGCAGGCTGGGTTCTGGAGTGCTCTAGGAAAAAGGAAATTTGGGAGGTCAGATCTCACATTTAGCAACCACACCACCCGTTTCCATCCTACCCACACCCAACTACAGCTTCAGGAATCAGACACACATGGCATTTGTCCTTATTCATGACAATAGCTGCGTAGGTAGAGTAATCTCTCTGTGCCTCAGTTCACTCAATTGTGCATGGAAGATAATAGTACCTTCCTCACAGAGTTGTTGACAGGAATGAATAACATATAAGTTGTGCAATGAATTTAGCACACAATAATGGTATTTTAATAACAGCAGTAGCTAATATTCGTTGCTTGCTTGGAAAGTGCTTACCATTATTCTAGAGTGTCAAATAGGCTAACTCTTCAATACTCTGAGGTAGGCACTATTACCATTGGCACTTTACAGATATAGAAAATGAGGCATCTAAAGGTCAAGTCACTTGTCTCATCAAAGTATACAGGGCAAGTGGTGGATCGGGGATTCTGCCTGTGACCATCTGGCCCCAGAGCCTGGATTCTAAACCACAACTGATATCCTGCTTAATTTATTACAAATAAGTGTTAGATATTATCATTATTGTTGTTATAATATTCCTTTTCCAAGAGATAGCCTATACTGTATAACCACACAGCCCCACTTGGGCATAGAGACAGGTGCCAGAATCATGAGTAAGCCAACCAACCACTCCCTAAGTCAACAATGGCTTCACGTGTTCCCTGAGAATGCCTGTGTATCAGCTGCGCTGTAAAGCACAGTGTGGGGCTTCAAATGCTCTGGTCACCAGTCCTGCGGAGTCAGATCAACCTCCATGAAGCACTGGGGACAAAGACAAGGAGGGAACGTGCTGGAAAGGATGGGGCAAGGACCTCAGGACACTGGATGCTGTGCCTGGCTATGGCACCAGCTCTCTGGGTGACCTTCTCCAGCCAGCTGACCTCTCTGGATGTCATCTTAAATGAGAGGACTGACCTAGATGCTCTTAAGCCCTGAGATTCTAATCTACAATTCTATTCTGACACTTTTGATCAGACTAACTTTTCTTCCTGACAGTCCATTTTTGAGAGACTATATTGGGACCCTTCATTTCTCCAACAAACTGTGAACACAGCGCCAGGCATCCTGAATAGTGCCCAGGATATCAGTGGAAGGCCTGGTCTGTGCTTTGTAATTGGCTCTGTGAGCATGATGAAGTCTGCCACAGGATGGGTTGGCAATCAGAAGACCAAGGAAGAGGATAGCCCAGAGGACAACTGTGCATGCCTGTGTGCCCGATCTGAACCCTGGGAGTGGCTCCCCAAATCTGGTACCGATCCTCAACCCAGGGTCCTGGTGTCCCAGATACCCAGCAGTCTGGGGGAGGGGTGTCATGCTGGATGATGAGACAGATAAGAATGTCTACGAAAAACAAGGCAGAAACCAGGCAACAGACGAGATGCTTGGGCTGAAGGTTAGATTTGTTTTCTAAAAGTAACAGCATTGTATGCAACAATTCAGAGACGAGAACTCAGCTGGCACATAACTAGGTGACTTTCTTGACCTTAATAAAGTATACTACTGGCCATTCTGATAGCAATCTTTTCTTACGTGTGTGTGTGAGAGAGAGTACACATGAGCCTGCACCTTTGAGAAACATTTACTTTGACATAAGATGCTACTAACTTTATTTGAAAATCAGTTCATCACACTTAGATATATTTGCTTTCACTCCTTAGAGGGGAATAATTCAGTGAGTATAATACTTCCCTTAAAAAGAAATTGATTCTAAAATATGTTTTTCAAACTTTTGACAAAAACAATTTTCTAATTTTTTTATGAACTACAAACAGCAAATATTGTATTGGCAATGTCATAAATAATACGAGTTGTCAGGTGAGATATTAAACATGTATAGATTTAATTTTTAATAAAGACTTTTAAACATACCCCAAAATATCCATCAATCTTTGACTTGGAGAAAGTAGCATTTTGATAAATCCCACCTCCTTCCACAATAGAAGTCAGCACGAAATGTCTATGGTTCTTAGTGAGACAATGATGGTATTCTTTACAGATGGTTATATGTTTGCAGCATGTAATTTTAGAGGGCACAGAATGGTAGAAGATATAAAAATGTATTATTTTGACAGGTATTCAGGTAATGGACTTAGGCACTGTCTCTCCCATGTCTCTACTGAAGGACCTTGGGCATGGGAGTCTCTAGAGAATCTGGTTCCTGAATTAGCTCAGAAAGAAATTCCAAAACTGTTTTAAGCAACGGCAACATTATTGGAGTACACACGTAAACTTCAAAGATGGTAATTCTGAGGAACAGTACTCTCCTGGATATATAAATCATGGTTTGCTTAAGCCTGGAAAGAAAATAATTAAAATTTTAGTAGTGATTATGTCTGAGATGAAGAATTATGGGCGATCCTTTTTTTCTTGATAATTTTCTCTGCTCACCAAACTTCCTATAATAAGCTTGTGTTAGTTGAACAATTTGAAACAATTGTTTTTTCAATCTTATGATATATTATGGAAGATCGTCTGATGTAAATAGTTAAAAGGCTTTGGAACCAGACAAACTTGGGTTCAAACCGCAGCCTGTACCCTTTGCAGCTTGGTACCTTCACATAAGGGACTCAGCGGCCCAGGTCACACGTAAGACAGAAATAACAGCACAGGCCTTTAAGCATCATTTCGCCTATTAGAGGCAAGATACTGTAAGTGCTTAGCACAGAGTAGGGGCCCAAAACATGATAATCCCTCTTCCATTCACAGTACACAGGGAAGAGAAGTTAGGCTTTTCTGGTAACAGTAAATTCCATGGTGTTTATAAATTGATGTTTCAGGTCATTTGTTTATAGAAACAAATGAGGTTTTGACAGGTGACTTTCAGAAATCTTCTAACAGTCAAAAGTTCAGCAAAAGAGGAAGTGGGAATAGGCTCTACCCCATTCTCCTTTCCATCACAGTTATTAGATGCCCGCAGTTGAGACACCTGGATTCCCTTGTGCCAGCCACTATGCTGCTGGATGCTCACACATCCTCGGCCGGGACGGGAGTCAGAAGGGGGATTAAAGCAGACCCTGGGAGCACAGCCACCACGATGGAGATCTTTCCCATGCAAAGTAAATTACAAGATTGCTTAAATGAGGGGTGAGGGACAAATTATGGATTCTCTGACTTTTCTTTCTTTTTTTTATGGCAGTTATGTTTATATTCTCACCCTATTCAGCCAAAGGTAGTTCAGTCACTGAGGTTTGAGATACAATATATGTACTCAACGAAACATGGCTGCCGGGGATAAGTTGCCCTTGGTTGTATGTTGCTGTAACTTGACTACAGCAAGAAATATTGATTTAACTGCCTTTAATATCAAGCCAGGCATTTGTTGACATATCGAAATGAAAAGTATCAAAACCATGAAAAGCTTGATATATAGGTCAAATCCCATTTTAGCTCACTCCAAGGGACTGTCCAGTCTTTTGTATTGGAATTGTGTTCTAATGATGCTTGCCCGAATCATAGATAACAGGAATTTTCATTATAAAGGGATTTGCTACATAAATGAATACTGGTATAGATTTTTATGTAGTACTGTTTATTGTAAAAAGTACAGCAAAAAATCATTACAAATTTAACATCTCCCTCCTCCCAGCTCTGGAGGTGTATCTCGCTTTCTGTTGAAGGTATGTAATGTCCTCTCCTTTTCACTGTCTGATTACTCTTTGCTCCTCCCACAGTGCCTAGTACAGAGCAGAGCCTCAAGAAATAGTTGATGAAGAAATGAGCTGAATGAAATGTGGTACCAGAGCAAATGAGGGAAATTCAGAATAGCTTCCAGGGTAGGAGGTATAAATTTTAGAAAATGATTCAAAATGAGATTTAGCCTCCTCTCCCAACCAGCATTCTCAAGGAGTCTAGGGGCCCGCTGGTCTTCTGTTGGCTCTTATTGCTGAGTGATCACGGAGGCTTGTCTAACATGTCCAGCACCCAGCTCACGTACTCCCATCTCTGGGAAACGCTGAAGAGACATTTCAATCATTAACTAAGTGAAACACCTTCAGAAGGGTACTATAGCATAGCCCAAGCTAGGGTGACAAAGAGCAAATTCTGTCCTGCTCTTCAGATTGAGAGACAATAACTGCGTGGAAGACAGTAAAAGGTGGGGAGGTTGGCCCATAGCAGCCCAGGGGAAGGGAGCGTGTGCGGCCCCAGGCAGGGGAGTTACTGTGCCACAGCCAGGCTCAGAGGCGGTTTCTGAGCCCTTAGTGATGCAGCCAGGCCTGGTGGGGGGGAACCAAGAGGGACTTCCGAAAAGTTTTCCTGGTTGCCATCTGGTGTGGAAATCCCTAACTTCTGGTCCTTTTTCCACCTCCCCTCCAGCAACATGATCACTTTAATAACCAAAGAGTCTCCTTTAAATTTTTGTAATTCAAACTTTTGAAAATATGTTTTTCTACTTGATAGTCTTTCTTGGGAATCTTTTTTATTGGAAGCTACAATAATGCATCAAATACACAAGTTTTGCTTCTGTCTCAGAACAACATAATGCCTAGTGTTATAAAGGTCCTGACTGTGTTCAGAAGAACCACCTGTTCCTGCCAAGGGGCCCCTGCCCTCACCAGAGGAACAGCCATGGGAGTGAGCTGTGAGAGGCTTCTAGCTCGCCAGGGGTCTCCAGAGACAGGGCAGAGAAGGCACTGGCCCTATTATCTCTGGATAAAGTATAAGCAAAGAGTTAGGAGAGCCTGGCGAGGTTAGCCCGAGGAGTGGTGTAGTTTCACATATATTTTACAAGTATTCCCATTATTCATTTGACAATATTTTAAATGGTAAATCGGCTTCTCCTCAAGAGGGATAACCTGTGGCCATTCATTAATAACTGATCATAAAAGCACATTAATTAAAAACGAATCATAAAAGCACTTCTGAGTTAGCCAAGTGGTTTGCTCCACATACTCAATCCTCCACGTGACCTCTGACTATGCAGGCGTCATTGTCAGCTCCACGCGGGAGCTGAGGGA